AAGCTAGTCTAAGATAACTTCCTCAAGAAAGCTCTTTTACAAGACACAAAAGCAAAAATAAAAGCCCTGTCCAATGGGTTCTAAATACGAGGCTACCCGAATTGTACTCATAATCAATCATTATGACACTACCCTGATTGTCCTATATTGCAAATGATCTTCCATCTCTTTAAGAAAGAATCTGCATTTGGTGTTCATTTATTACTACCATGCAGACAATCGATTGTGAAACCATCCATTTGAGAACACTCAAACTAACTGATTCGACAAAAAAAAAATAACTCCATAGACACAACAATCAAAATCAATAAGTATCCAAGTTATACAAAATCTCATTTCCTCCCAGAAAAAGTTGAAATAATAATTCATATCAATACTAGGCATTTTCAAGACGTGCGAATCCATCCATTTGAGAACAATCAAACTAACTGATAACAAAAAGGAAAAAAAATCCACAAAACTTAACAATCAAAACCCATAATTATCCAAAATAAAATCAAGTCTCATTTTCCTCGCAGTAGAAGTTGAAATAATGATTCATATCAAAATCATGCATTTTCAATAACAAAACAAAAATAAAAAAGAATCCTAGGAGATTCAGTTTCAAACTCTTTTTCAATCCAGTGGAATCTCAACATCACCATCGGTAATCTCCTGCTGCAGATCCTTGGGGTCTTTCCCGTCCACTGTACACCCAACAGAGACACACGTACCAAGGATCTCCTTGACGGTGCCGGATAAGTCCTTGGCCATTGATCGTGGAGCCATTACCTTGGCTATCTCAATGACGTCATCTAGCGAGATATTGCCATTGTGCTTAATGTTTTTAGTCTTCTTACGATCGCGCTCGGGCTCCTTGAGGGCCTTGATGACAAGGGCGGCGGCAGAGGGCACCACGGTCACCTTGGCTTGGCGGTTCTGGACGGTAAGCTTCACGGTCACACGGAGGCCCTTCCAGTCCTTGGCAGTTTCCTTAGCTATATCTTCACCGATTTTTTTTGGTGAAAGACCGAGGGGACCGATCTTCGGAGCAAGGGAACTAGCGGCACCAACTTCACCGCCGGTTACCCGGACGAAAACGTCAACTACCTGGCTCGGGTCGAACTTCGGCGGCATTTTTGCGGATCCGGGTTAGAGAGAAACGGTTTGGAGAGACCGGGGCGGCAGACAGCGTTGGTGAGTATTTATGTTAGCAATTGTTTGATCATTTTAGGGTTTGGAATATATGGTTACAGGCTAGGGTTTTTGTGGGGAGACTGAACGAAAAGACAGTTCTATCCTTTATGTTAGAATTTCTTTGTTAGTTGTCTGTATATTCACGGTGCAAATTATTTATGGGCAGCAGGTAAATGGGCTAAAGATCCACAACTACAATCAAAGGCCTTAGTTTGAAATGGGCCACAATTTAAAAAGTACTTAAAACTAAGGGCTGTGCTACAGTAGCGGGGCCATGTGGGCCCCGTCCGTCCAAGGGGAGCATGTTAATAATACAAAAGGTAATGGAAAAATTATCCAAAAATCCTACATATAAATTATACTATTCAAATGTAAGATGGTCTAGTTTTAGTTTCACAAATAAGGTGAGAATGCAAGTTTATTAACATAATTAATACAACATTATTAATAGGAAAATCAATTCTCTCACTGCGTATCTCTCACAATTTCTTATTTCTCACACTACTTCTCTCTCAACAATTTTTTTCTCACCATTCCTCACTAATTTCTCTCTCACCATTTCCAACGACACTATTGTTTCTCTCTTGGCCATAGCCGCTTGACCTCCTTCTTTGGGCTCAAATACCACTCTTTACAACCTCAATTATCCTCCTCGTTGTTGACCCCGAAAATTGGTCCTTCCACGTGGCCAACTGAAAGCTACTCCACGTGTTCCTCCCTGCGCACAATCAGCGAATAGTCAGGCGCACACGGCCGGAACCAGTGGGGGTGGTGACAGCCGTATACACTCCGACGGTCAAGTCAGGTTTAAGTGATCGGAACAGTACCCAGGGGCTATGCAAATCAATGATAAAGGGAGAGGAGAAAATATATAAACTTGCTATGGAGTGCTATGTAGTAAGAGTTTTATTACCTTTGCCTCTTGCCAAACCTTGGGTATTTATAGGTGGTATGAACCGTTGGATGTGGGACGCGTGTATACATCTGATGGTATGAAGCGTCCGCTCATAGGCGTCAATCAGCCGCATTTGTAAAGTGGGCGGACAGTTTGTTTCTTCTGAGTTGAATTGACATAAAGTTGATAAGTCACATCAACTAGCCTCATGGAGACGTCAAATCAATTTAAACCTTAGGCGCAGGAAGGATCTTGGTACAAATCTCAAATTAGCGGCGGATCTTCTAACCGGGGTCCACTTGACCTCGACCTCGGAGGCGAGATGTTTCGGCAGGTCAGTAATAGGAATCGCCATATCACTTCGGAAACACTTCGGAAGGGTCGTTTTCAGGTCGGAATATGTGGTGCTGCAGTCCGAGGTGTGTAAGATCGGAGCGTAACAGTGGTCCCCCAAGTCCGGGGATGAGTATTTATATTATGCGTGGACTTGCTTTCCTGACCAGACCGCAAGTCATGGGAGTTTTGGGGGTTGATATGTTGCAGCAATCGAGGTTATGATAACAAGCAGACGTGCCAAAGTTTCGTTATTGTGCGTAACGTACGAGGCGGTCAACAGCATGGAACTTCGCGTAAGGTGTATCGAAGCTTCACGAATATGGTGCACTGACTCCACAGACCGACACATTGGGAGATGGCTGAAACTTTGTAAAGCATGGGAGATAACACATCGTCCGAGACGATAACCTAAAAGGGCATTCGCGTCAGGTGCGTCCAAGCTTTGTAAAGTTGGAGGAGGAGCTCATCTGCCACCAGTGCGCTGACCCGAAAGGCCGACGCGTTGGGAGATGGCTGAAACTTTGTAAAGCATGGGAGATCACGCATCGTCCGAGGCGATAACTCAAAAAGGCCTTCGCGTCAGGTACGTCCAAGCTTTGTAAAGTTGGAGGAGGAGCTCATCTGCCACCGGTGCGCTGACCCAAAAGGCCTACGCGTTGGGAGATGGCTGAAACTTTGTAAAGCATGGGAGGTAACGCAGCGTCCGAGGTGATAACCCAAAAGGGCCTTCGCGTCAGGTGCGTCTAAGCTTTGTAAAGTTGGAGGAGGAGCTCATTTGCCACCGGTGCGCTGACCCAAAAGGTCGACGCGTTGGGAGATGGCTGAAACTTTGTAAAGCATGGGAGGTAACGCAACGTCCGAGGCGATGACCCAAAAAGGGCCTGCGCGTCAGGTGCGTCCAAACTTTATAAAGTTGGAGGAGGAGCTCAATCCGAGGCGATCCAAACGTCAAATGATTTGACAACTGTTGCGTGTTTTCAAAGTGACAGTTGGGTGCCATGCCCATTCTCCCAAAAGGCTGCTGCGGCTACTAATTATTATTGACGGCTGGTTGCAACCGAGGTGACGCGTTTCAAGCAAGTGTGAAAGTCACAGCGACATCTTGGGCGTAAATCAAATTTGGCGTTTCATTTCAACGGCCTAGATTGAAGATGCGATGAATGGCTTAGATTGATCGCATTTGAATTCAATGGTGGAGATCGGATTTCTTTCTATAGAAGGAGGACTCTGAGGTTTTCTCAGACTTTCTACCCTTGTGAAATTGACATTATATTTTGCTCTCGAGTTATTGGTGATTTTCGACGTTTTGTAAGCAATTCCGGCGATAAAATTAGACTTCCGGCGACCTTACACCATTTTCGGCTAGGAAAACCTCCAAACCCATAAGTTTCAGTACCTATTTAGGCTTTTAAATTTTAAAAGAATGGTCTCAGAAGGGAGTTCTGGTTCGGGGAGGGGTTTAGAAATGGTGAAGGTGGACGAGCCCATTGTGGCGACCTCTTCAGAAATAGTCGAGGCAATAATGGGGGGGAATTTATGGAGACGACTGGATAGTCCACCGAATACCTCTGTGCATTGGGGGGCGTCGGACTACCCCATCAAAATTAAGGGAGGCCAACCTAGGGAGACTTAGGATAGAGTATAGGATCCCTGATAGTATGGACTTGATCCTTCCCGGTCCGGAAGAGAGAGCCTGCTACCCTAGGTCGGGCTGTGTGGCCATTAGTGAGATGATCCTTAGGGCCGGACTCAGGCTGCCCGTTCACCCATTCTTTAGGATGGTGCTTAGGTCCTATGGGCTAGCCCCGACGCAGCTCAATCCGAACTCCTAGAGCCAGATGGCGGGCTCCTGTATGTTGTGGAAAGAGGCGTTATTAGGGGTGGAGATGCCTCTTTCCGTTCTCCAAACCCTTTACATTCCTAAGGTTACTGCCGGGGAGGATAAGACCCAGGGATGGTATTACCTTACGTCATGGGGTTCCCACACTCCAGTCGTGGTCGATCTGCCGAGCTCCATCAAAGAATGGAAGAGCTCATGGTGCTGGACCGCAGGGTGATGGGACACGATGGAGGGGGGACCCCCTGGCGCCTCTTACGGTTCCAACGAAGTATTTAACACTTAGTGAGTATAGTAGTAGTCTCCTTATATTTCTCTTCGGTTCGAATTGTGTCTAACAGTTACATTTCCTTTATAGGTGCTCTTCCTCGGTGCGAGCTGTCAATCAAGGACTTTGACACCATCTGTGTCATTTATCAGCTGCCTCAAAAGAAGATGTCCTACCACAGGCTGATCCGAAAGAACATCCATTTCATTACTCACGATTTAATGGTATCCCAAGGTAACTGGACCGAAGCCTTTACTTTTTTATTCCGAACTCCTAAGACTTGTATTAATTCCTTATTTGCTTCTTTGCAGACAAGTTTAATAAGAAGCTGCCCATGCGCCCTGACTTCAAGACCATCCAGAAGATGATGGCAGAGGCACGGGCGTTGAAGGCCTCCTCCTCCTCGTATAAAAAGCAAATGGAGGAGTTGGTGGAGGCCAGTAAGAGGCTCCAATCCCCGACGGAGGAGGAGGTATCGGAGGATCCGGAGGCTGACCTTCAAAGGAAGGGCAAGAAGAGTGCCGCCCCTCCAAGACGCCCAACTGTGGCGAGGCCACCCCAGTTCTGAGGCAGACCACAATTCCCACGGGGATGGCCCTTCCAGAGAGAAGATCCGCTCCAACCGAGCCCGTAGCTGCCCCGGCCACAACACCCCTCGTTGCAGTGCCAATTGACCAAGCGCGGGGCAGCAGAAGAGAAAAAGGCCCCGTCCCTCTAAGGAGGTCGACTTTCTGGGCACTAATCCTGACGAGCCCGTAAGGGAAGTGTTGGAGGCTCTTCCTCCCGAAACAGCTGCGATGGCGGTGGTCCATAATAAATACTGGACGGAGGAGTGGAGGGACCACACCGCCTCCTGCACGGCTGAGGACTTGGTGGCCGCGCACAGCGCCTGTGTGGCTCGGGCCCTGAGCACAAGCATCCAGATTGAGGGCTTGGTGAAGGATCTGAACTCTAAGAGGGAGGACCTCGCCAAGCTCCTAGAGGAGGCGATGCATTAAGGGGATGCCATGCGGACGGCTCAGGCCAAAGCCACGCAGGCAGAGGAAGGGAAGAAAGATGCTGAGGCCCAGCTTGCTGTCGCGAAAGCAGAAGTGGAACGGCTGAAGAAGGAGTTGTATGAGGTGGAATGCCAAGTGGCTGCTGTGACTCGACGACTTAATCACGCCAATGAGCACCACAAGCTTGCCACCGATGCTCTGGAGGCCTCCAACAAAGAAAAGGCAGAGCTGAGGCAGAAGGCAGAGGCCCAGTCAGAAGAGATTGTCTCTTTGAAGGAGGAGCTGAAATCTGCGGGGAGGTGGCAGTCCAGAACTTCATTGACCACTTCGAAGATCATCCTCTGTATGACGATTTCGCCAACTTCTGGGCCTCATGGAGTGCCCAAAGCTTACTGGGTCGACTGGAGGAGGTGCATCCCACTTTAGACATCTCTTCATTAGAGGCAGAGTTTGGGTGACTGACTGGAGGTCGGCTTGATAGGGTTGTCGAGGGGGCTCCGGAGGCCCAGGAGGTGGCCAATGTAGAAGTCCCTCCAGCAGATTAGGGCTACCTCTTGTAATGGCTGCGGCCCTTCTGTACTTAAATTTATTAAATGAAATGAAAATATTTGTTAAGTATTTGGGCTTCTGCTTCTTTGTATTTTCTATCCGTTTATAGTTGTATGAACGACAAACGTTAGACTAATTGCCTCGCGACAATAATCAGTTAATAACTGCGGACCA